AGTCGAGGACCCATCGCCGAGTCGAGCTCAGAGAACACAGACTTGGCCCCGATCATATGGTTTGTTGCCCTTGTGTCGAGGATCCATCGTTGGTGCTCTTACTGCTCAGGATCTATTAACCCCTCACCGACGACGCTCACTGGAGCAGTTACGTCGTCGGTTACTTCCATGGATTTGGGGATGTCGGATAAGACTGATGTGCTCACCATGAAAAGAGCCCGCTTTTTCTCCTCAGATTGGGCCACATGGGCCTTCTTCTTGTTCTTGAGCTTGCTCCAATAATTCTTGCTCAGGTGGCCTTTCTAACCAATTGAGCTAATCAACTTGGCTTTGATAAACTTGGCTCCTCCGCAATGATACACCACCAGTAGATTAACCTTGCTCTAATGCCACTTGATGTCTTTTGACTGAGAAATTTGTAATGAGGACATTGTCGGAGGAAAAATAGTCGATTGTTGGAAGAAGAAAAAATTGGAAAAACACAAGAGAGAGAGATAAACGTATTTCAAATTATACTGACCCGATGATTTGTTTCTCATTGGATTGACATATTTAAATAACAATTATATGCTAAAAATGGAATGGAGTGGCAACTCAATTAAAGTCATTCCATTAGACGTGGTCATTCCACTAACTTTAATTGTGTGGCTTTAACTAAAAATATGATGATTTCTAACCTAAAAATAAGGATTTATCTAACAATAAAGTGCGTGTCAACTTACAGGCACAAGGCATGTGGGACGCCATCAAGTATGGTGACGTTGAGGAGCGCAAGAATAATATGGCTCTTACTACTATCTATCAAGCAGTCCTGGAGGACGTTCTTCTCATGTTGGTAGAGAAGGACGCGACAAAGGCAGCGTGGGAGACATTGCAAACAATGCATGTGGGTGTGGAATGTGTTAAAGAAGAAAATGTGTCGACCTTGAAGAGCGAGTTCGAGGCTATCCGCATGAAGGACGGTGAATCAAACCCTAGATGACTTTGTCATAAAGTTGACGATGATCGTTAGCGGCATCTGTTCATTAGGCGACATGATGGAGGAGATCTCCGTCGTCAAGAAGTTCCTTCAAGTTGTTCCCTCAAAATTCATGCAAATTGTTACCTTCATCGAGCAGTTCGCCAACCTCAAGAACATGTCAGTTGAGGAGGTCGTTGGTTGTCTTAAGGTCCATGAGGAGAGATTTTATGGCTATGAAGACAAAGAGGAGAAGAAACACCTCTTACTCACACATGAGGAGTGGCTCGCATGGATGAAAAGGAATGATGCGGCTGACTCTTCTTTTCCAAGTACGAGGGAACGTGGCAGCCATAACAAGGAAAACAAAGATCGTAGACATGGTCGTAGACGTGGTGGTAGAGGAGGCCGTGAAATTCTTGAGGTGCACTAGTTTGTGCGAATGAGAGAATACACATATTGAGGATAAGATGACCACAAATGGGGCGAGGTGCGCGTTGAAAGTCCATAATTGTTTGGTGAGTGTCTATAGAGATAGGCTGCCTCACCCACAGCTATGACAAACACTAAATAGTCGCGTCTACGTTACAAGTCTCAATGGTCAAGTCTAAGATGGGCAAACAACCAAAATAGGTCCGAAAGTAGGATAGCCCGTAGATAGGGTGCAAGAGTTGTTTGTTTTCCAGCAAGTCAAGTAACAAGTCGTCTAGACTCCGCTCTCACAATAGTTGGTGCCACAAAGAGGAATACAATAGTTGGTGTCAATCGGACACCGAACAAACGCTCCATGACACCGTATGACCGTTCGCCAAAATCACGCTATATGTGGAGTATTGAAAATGACTCAAAATGTACTATAGGGGGAGGCATGGTGTAGCTCTCCACCAACTCTGGGTCTTGTGGCCTAAGCGAGCTACGCTATGGCATATGCGTGTGTCACAATAAGGTGAGCATGCTGAGATGAGTGTCTTAGGCGACTTCCTTTGTAATGTGGTTTTCAAGGACAATATCGGGCGATACAGGTGTGCCAGTATTGTGTCTCTTCCCGCGTGTTGAAGGTTGATATATGCACCCGCTATCTAGTACGATATTCGTAAATGACATGACATTAGCATAGGAGGACCAATGTCTCGATAGAACCCAAATGGATGGATGTTTGGGATGTCCTAATGAGATGAACGACACGTGGGCCCATTCTCGATGGCATGACCGAATAAGTTGCGATGGTCGATGACACCTCGAGACTTGGGATGATGTCAAGACATATGAGTCATGTCGATTGGGAAAAAAATGACAAGATGAGATGCGATGTTGCATTGAGAGACCTTGGCCCCGAGTAGAGGCAAGGTCGAGCCGAATGACTTGGCCTAGTATAGAGGTAAGTCGGTTGTGTCGCAGACGATTGAACATGCATGCACGGTGGCATGTGTGGTCGAACAAGCTTGGATTCCGCACAAGCAATGTTTGGTTGGCAAAAACAAACCTCACCTAAGGTCCGATGAAACCACGAAGCCAGAGCGAAAAATATATATGGGGCTTGATTCCTCCTAAGGCTGGTCTTGATCGTGTCAAGATCTCAATGCGGCACAGTAAAAAAAGTAGGATTGTGACACTCCCTTCAAAAACCCGAGGTCCTTCCTCCTTCCTCAACCAGCAAGTCGCCTTAAATCAACCCTCACCCAATATGTCCTCACCTAGTCTCGATGAGGGATAAGAGTGAGGTCTTTCGCCGCCTGCCCTCTGTATGTGCCGCTAATGAGCGTACGACGTTGCAATTGCATCTGTCATTCTTTTATTATTATTATTTATTTATTCCTCCTTTGGACCGCTAGGTATTACTGTTGTCCTTCTCGCTAACGCATACGGTACGGTGTTGCAAAAAAACATATTTTTCGCCCTTTTTTCTAAATATATATTATATAATAAATTTCATTTATTTCTCTTCTATCCACAAGGTATTACACAAACAGATTGTTAGGCTTGCAGTATTGGAATTGATTAACGCTTCCGTTTGTGAAAAAGAAACGGTGATTTTGTCCATAAGAATTTTTTTTTTTTTTTTTTTTTTATATGGTAATTGAGAATATGAGAGGGTAGATGAGATCGTGTGAGTTAGGAGAAATATGGAAAAGAGTGGCAAAAAAGAGTAATCCCTTAACTCAAATCCAATAGAGGAGATCATGTGAGTTGAGAGAAATAAAGAAGATCGTGTGATTAAATGACTCGAATGCAATGCAAGAAAACTTCCACCCTTTAAATACCTACTAAAAAAAAGTTATGACCATAATTAACTAATTTATGAGAACTTTCTTACTCCTTTCAACCTTGCAAATGTTGACTTTCAAAACTTCACATAGTTCTTCTTCACTAGAGTTAGCTTTAGAGGTTGAACCGAGTCTATCCAATTTTGTAAATGAAGAATAAACGTTTTCTTAACCTTGGGTCGTGTAATAGGTCCAGTTAAAACTTGTGAAACACCATGATCCTTATTATATGTGAATAGAGGTATCCTATACAATGAGTTTGTATAAGACTAGATCATGAAATATTTAATACCTCTTTATAGATCCATTAATTGAGCATAATAATAATTCACAAGATGATTATATGCAACTCAATCTTAATCTTGAAAAGATGATTATATGCAACTCAATTTTAATCTTGAAAAAGTTATGAACTTTTGCACATGAATGCTTGTTCTTTGATTTGTATGGGTGAGAATGATTTTTATAGCTAATTCAATATGTCCACGATTCTCGAGACTGACCCAATAAGAATATGAGAACATAATCTTAAAGATGGAGTTCGTTCTTTCCTATATAGGAAAAATAGATGAGTAATTTCTGTTGGAACTAATTTTGGGACTTGAAAAATGAAACTTTACCTTCTCATGGTTTAAGAGTGACTTAGTTATGATATTTTTCATAAACAAATGGTTTATTTAAAGAATCAATGATACTTTAGTGGATAGATATATTACATGAGTAAAACAGACTTTTGACCTAATTGTAATTACGAATAATTTATGAATGATTGATTTGCTTGTAATGATTATATCAATAAAAAAATAAGTGTTGGATGTATAAAATCTTGTTTTTGGGAGAATGTTTTACAAATAATATATTTTAATATTTAATATACAATATTCTATTTAAATATCATAAGATATTTCCAATTTCAAATATATATTTATATTTGTTACATTAACTATTTTAATATCAAATTAATCCTGGGACCTGGGAGATTTGAGGTTCCCATGTTTTAACCTCGTGGAGGTTCCCATAAGTTGATATCTTTATGGTTTAATTCTAAATAAAATCAAAATCAATTTAATATTTTGAGTGGGGAATGAAACGTTTTTAATAATAGTTTTGATTATCTTAATTGTAATTCAATAATCTATGGTATGTAAAATCTAAAGTTACGAAGGTAATCTTAAGTAGTATGTAGTTAGTTATAGGAGAAGGTCACGCTCAAGAAATGGCTTAAAGGATCCATTGTATGTAATTTTTACAAACTATTTGATTCGAATTCGTGATTTGAAGAGATGTGAGAGTTGACGTATTTTATACCATGCATTTGTATAAGACTAGATTATAAATTATTTAATATCTATTTATAAAGTGTTAATTAGGAAAATCCATATTTTATAGGAGGATCCTATAGGACTAGATCTTAAACCTAAGTGGGCTATAAACCTCTATATAGTAGGGCTTGTCCATTTATTTGCACGAGTAAGAACGACTTTTGTAGCATATTTAACATGTCAATCATTTTGAAGAAAGCTAATAACATAATGGTACGAGATATAATTTACTCATCATAAACTCAAAAATAAAATTTTAATATTTTTGTTACTATTAAATGGGTAAAAATAGAATTTTGGTGGAAGTAAAATCTAACTATTTAATTAATTGATTTTAGTCGGCCAAAAAGGAGAGAATTTTGGTTTATTTATTTATTTAATTTTTTTAAATACCCCAGTTTCTTCGTTCTCGCGCCCAACATCTCCTAAAAAAGGTACCCTTCTTTTCGTTCTCCCGCTCATCTTCCCAAACCTTCTCTCTCAAATCTCATTTTATTTACCACTTTTATTTTCAACTCTCATTTCAGTTCAGCACTAGGGTTTGCTCTGCTTTGCCCATACGCATTTCTGGGGAGGTCGATAGCAGCAGCAGTGCCCCTGGAACATCAAATCAAACCGCTCATTCTACATAAACCATCCAAATCACAAGGTAAGCTTCTTATCAAAGCTATGGGGTTACTACAAATTTGTTTCTCCCACCGCTTTTGTTTTTGTTTGGTTAACTTTTTTTTTTTAAATAAATTAAGTTTCAACCTCCAATTCCATCAGGTTCTTATCACTTTACCGATTACCGAGTTTTGTCTATGAAAAAAAGTCCTAAAAATTGCTCAAATCTTAGTTTATGGAACCTTCTTTTCTTGTTGTTCAAGTGATGATTGAGTTTGGATTATTAAACTTGCTAAAATACATTTTTCGTTTCAATTATCATTTTGTCTAAATAATGCTTCCACGAAGAAAGAAGCTAAGAAGGAAAATAATGGACCAACAACTAGTCCTAAAGTCAAAAGGTTTTATCGAGGACAATATGCCTAAATTATATCGACTTGGAATAAAAAAAATGAATTGAGGGGGATTGAAATGCTGTAACAGAGAAGTGAATTGACTGTGTGCTAACTTTGGTTTCAATTGGTCTGTATTGTCCGGGGAGAAGATGAAAAACTTAGCAATTTGATTGGGTCACTGTACTACTCCGATGGGGAGACAGTGAAAGATCTGACAGAAAATGTAAACCATTGGAATTTTTATTGGCATCTTAACGGAACACATTTGCATGATTTTTACTGCACGTTCTCACATCTAGTTACTACTTCATCCCCCCATCAAATGCAGGGTTTAACTAAGTTGTTGGGTGGAGTGTGAATATGGTGGAACAAGATGCCAAGCGACAGCCGAAGGCTACAAACATTATGGCAAGTAAAACCCAGGTAAGATTTTGGGCTAATTAGGACTTGTTTTTCGTAGTTGAAAACATCAGCACTCTCCTCTCATGGTCTGTGTTTCTCAGTTGCCTTGCGACGGCGATGGCATTTGCATGCTCTGCAAGGCCAAGCCTTCCGACTTGGAGACAATCACATGCAAAACTTGCGTCACCCCTTGGCACGTCGATTGTCTCTCAAGTCCCCCTGAAACCCTGGCATCAACCCTTCAATGGGACTGTCCCGATTGTTCCTCCCCTCCCGAAGATGTTCCCCTTCCTCCGATCGGCAACAATCCACTCCCTACTACGCCTTCTAGTGACCTTGTTGCTGCGATTCGAGCCATTGAGGCTGATGTCTCCCTTACTGACCGTGAGAAGGCAAAGAAGCGCCAGGAGCTTCTCAGCGGAAAGATGCAGTCCGACAAGGATGATCATGATGCCAACAAGGAAAAGAAAAAAAAGGGGGACGATGTTTTGGATTTGTTGGACGAGAGATTGAACTGCTCGTTCTGCATGCAATTACCAGAAAGGCCAGTCACTGTAAGTTCTTTATTGCATATTCTTTATCTTCTTTGCCATGCCAGACCACCAACTCCTTTATTCTTGCCCTTGCATTGCTTGCAGCCATCTTTCACCGTGTCTTTAGCTGTTCATGTTATTAAAAAAATGATGTTTCATCTTTTATATCATCGATTTATATATCTGATTCACTTGTATGAAATATTTTCACTGTAATATGTGTGATTCATTTTTACATCTCACTTCAATTCATCTTCTTTTTAATAGTTTAGACTAAATAAAGCATGATACGGCCGTTTCCCTTATTTTTTTTTTCTCTAAATTGTACTAACATATTTTCTAATACATTATGAAAGTTTTGATGATGCTTAACAAGTTTTAAAGAGAGCATTTTTTGTTGATACCTGTACTGGATGTGCTCGTCAAAGATTATATTGAGAAAATCTTTCAAGTGTTCTGTTCTAATGATTACTGTTCAATAAATTTTGTATGGTTGGGAGATAAAATCTTTAATTTTAAGGAAAGGCAATAGATGCTTTATCTTAATGAGCTATACTCAGATTGATATATAAAAATATATTTTAGGGACATTTTCAGGATTTGCTTATATAACTTACCTTGATGTCCAATTCATTCTGTACCATTCTTGTTTTATAAGTTGCATTTAACATGATTATAAGTTGTTTGAGAAGATTATTAAGGGCTTATTGAATTTTTCAATTGAATGTCGAGTAATCATTGATAATATTGTAGAGGTTTGTAGGATGAACCCATAATCTTCATTTTTAATAATATTGTAGAGGTTTATTCATTATGGTGACAATGGTGACTGCAACTGTATATAGTATGGATTTGGAAGTGGGAAAACTTGATGTTATATATTGTACAATAATTCGTGAATCAGTTGAAGTCAGTGGATTGGTAGTCAGATATTTTCTTGTAATGATTTTTTTCTTCATTGATTCCTATTGGCTTGTATCTTTGAAGTTTTAGTGTTACTGCTGATTACCTTAGGCATCTCGATCATGTGATAGTAAACTTCTAGGAAATTAAGCTCATCAATTTGATTAATTGGGTTTATGCTAAGAAGAATATGGCCGTGTGATCCAGACTCCATGTGGCCACAATTTCTGCTTAAAATGTTTCCAGAAGTGGATTGGACAAGGAAAGAACACTTGTGCAAAGTGCCGCTGCGTTATACCTTCCAAAATGGCTAGCCAGCCCCGTATAAATTCCACCCTTGTAGTGGCCATTCGTATGGCTAAATTGTCAAAATCATTAGTTTCTGGAGGACCTCAGAAGGTTTATCATTTTGTCCACAATCAAAATAGACCAGACAAAGCCTATACCACTGACCGGGCACAAAGAAATGGGAAGGCTAATGCTGCCAGTGGAAAAATATTTGTTACAATTCCAACTGATCATTTTGGTCCCATTCCTGCTGAAAATGATCCCGAGAGAAACCAGGGTGTTCTGGTCGGTGAATGCTGGGAGGATCGGTTAGAATGTCGTCAATGGGGTGCTCACTTTCCACATGTTGCAGGTATAGCGGGACAGTCAAATAATGGTGCACAATCAGTGGTTCTTTCTGGTGGCTACCAGGATGATGAAGATCATGGGGAGTGGTTCCTCTACACTGGAAGGTTTATTTATTATTATTTTTTTTATTGTGCATTCTATTCGGTCTGTTCTTTCCCTGTTGTTTATTTACCTGTTCTGCAAATTTTTAACAAGCTGGGTATTTAGAAGGCATGCTCTTTCGACAAATAATCATATGATAGTTATTTTAGTTCGTTCAATGTTTTATACCATTTCCCATCTTGTTTCTTCTTTTGTCCTCTCTTTTTCTTTGTTTGTTTCTTTTTTTTTTTAAAGCTTATGGAGCTGTTTGGTACAGGGTAAATTTGATGGTATTTTAATTAACTTACCTCTTTTTTTTTTTTTCTTTTTTCTTTTTTACATTATTTGGTCACTATGCATAATAAACCATTGTGTCTGATGATTCTGGTTGGAATTAAATTGCAGTGGGGGTCGAGACCTTAGTGGGAACAAGCGTACAAGCAAGGATCAGTCTTTTGACCAGAAATTTGAAAAATCAAACCAAGCGCTACAAGTTAGTTGCTTGAAGGGCTATCCTGTTAGGGTTGTTAGGTAGGTAGCTGCAAATCAATGCCGGATATTCCTTGATTTTGGAGTTTCTATTTCATTTGCTGCGTTGATGTAGGCTCATTTATTTGTTTTGAACCTCTAGTTATATAGAATATATCTTATTGAAAACAATAACAGCTTCCGGTTTTGTAGTTCCTTGTGTCTCTTGATTATTCATTTTCAACATAAAATTTATAATGTCATTCGGTCCACCGTTTGAACTTGTAGGAGAGTGTATGACTCGGCATTCCAGAATGGATAAAGGATTATTTGATTCTCTACTTGCATGGAACTGGAAAAGCTCATGGTTTTAATGTGTCATCTATTTTGTAACATGTGTTATGTGAGTAACTTCTGATTTTGAAACTAAAGAAATACGGTAAAGCTACAACTGTTTTGGTTGAGCATGTTAAAGTGTTTTTCCATTTTGGTAGAGGTATGGGAAAAGGCATATAACTTCTGTCGCTTGTCAAAACTGCGTCTGCTTTTCATGCCAGACTTGAAGCTTCTTGTACATTTTTAGCTGTGATTGCATAGCAATTGGTGAAATACGTCGGGGAAACTAGTGTTACTCTTGGCTTCATGATGTTGTGTGTGTCTTTCGAGTATAACGTTATTTCAAGTACGGATCTGAATTTTTCAAATGCCTAATGCTGTATGCTAATATTCATGATAACAGATCTCACAAAGAAAAGCGTTCCTCATATGCTCCAGAGAAGGGATTGCGGTATGATGGAATTTATAAGATTGAGAAGTGTTGGCGTAAAGTGGGAATTCAGGTATTGCTTTTGTTCTTTGTTATTGAAAATGATGCATGTTTCTTCGACACTTTGAGGTATGTTTTTCACATCTCTTAAAAAACATATTTAAATTTTAAGCCAAATTTTAAAAGCAAAATCAAGTTTGTAAAAACTACTTTTGAGTTTTTAAAACAAGAATGTAGGTTATAAAGCTAGAGAACTATAAGTAGGAGTGTTCATAAGTTTAATTTTTAAAACCAAAACAATAAACATAATGGTTAAGCAAATGAGACCAAATCTGTTCCTCCTTTCTTAAAATACCATCTGCTGAACAGATTATTAATTAGATATGTGTATCCTCTATTTTAGGGCTTCAAGGTATGTCGCTATTTATTTGTTAGATGCGACAATGAGCCTGCTCCATGGACAAGGTTTGTGTTTCTAATTATTTAATTGCTTTCATGTTATCAAATGCAAGATGAAGTCTCTGGCTTTGCCTCAGAGGCATTTTCCTTCATTAAACGAACACTCTCAGTAAGTTTTTTTGACTGCAGTGATGAACATGGAGATCGACCTAGACCCTTACCTAAAATTTCAGAGTTGAAAAAAGCGACGGATATTACGGAGAGGAAGGGAGGTTCCTCATGGGACTTTGATGTGAGTATTCTCCAATCTCCTTTTCCCAACAGAATCAACACATCTTTTCCATGCAGTATCTAACTTTTACTGAATTACGATTCAAACAAATCTGTTCCTTCGATAATCTCATGCATTTCAGCCTCCTGATCATTTCCTTTCATTCTTTCTTCTGTTTTTGAAAAATAAGTTTCGAAAGCAAGTTTTGTAAAATGAAGTTGTTTTTCCTAGCATTCATTTTCTTTTGAATTCAGCAAGTATTTTCCACCTTTAATGTAATAATATTGCGTGGTCATTATTTTTTAATTTGTTTAATATGTTATATTGTTTTTGGTTTACTGATAATTTGACTACAATTTATCTAAAGCTATATCTTTAAGTTTCTTTCAGGAGAGCGATAGTCGATGGAAGTGGAGCAAAGCTCCACCAACGAGCAAGAGACCAGTTGAAGCCGAAGATTCTGCTTCTGGGAAGAGGAGAAAAATTAGGCAATCGCGTAACATGAGTGTCCGAGAAAGGTTACTAAAAGGTTGGCTTAATATGTTATATTGAATAAAGTCGCGAACGAAAAGACGGTTCACATTTTTAACAATTACGCGTGCTGGCATATAACTGATATGCAGAGTTTAGCTGCCGTATTTGCCGGGAGGCGATGAGTTTGCCAATTACAACACCTTGTGCCCATAACTTCTGCAAGCCATGCTTGGAAGGTGTTTTTGTGGGCAAGACATTCTTGAGAGAGAGAAGCAGTGGCGGACGGGCTCTTAGATCCCAAAAGAATGTCATGAATTGTCCTTGTTGCCCCACCGATATATCTGATTTTCTACAAAATATTCAGGTAATAAATCATTGGTTTAAATGCTACTTTGGTTCTTTGCTTCATTTTAATCTTATATACTTTCAAAAGGTTCATTTTAGTTCGTGTTTTGGTACTTTCATTTTCATTTTAAGATTTTATTTTGGTTTATGTCCTCCATGAAGAAAATTGTTCGTTTTCTGACTTGGGTAATTGGTATGAATAGGTAAATAGAGAGTTGTTGGATGTGATCGAGTCACTGAAAAGTAAGATTGAAGAAGGGGATGCATCTGAGAAGCTCTGTGAAGAAGTGATAGATGGGGAAGAGGAGGGAAAAGATGGAAGCAATGGGAATGAAAGCAGCAGTTCAGTAGAAACAACAAGAAAGCGAGCAAAGGTGTATGATTTGGAATGAACGAACACAAAGTGGTGTTCTTGGCTTGCTGGGCTTTGGAGAAGTGGAGTCGATTGGATTTTGTATTTATATGGGCTGGGTATTCGCATAATTTTGGATACATATGCGCCCCCTTTCATTTCATTTGGAGATGATATCAAGTTAAATTCTTAGTTACAATTCTTAGTTATAATTTTGTCAATTGTCTAGGGTTTGTTTCTCTTTACTTCATGCTATAATATCTTATATAATAATTTTTGTATAGGTGACAGTTTGACAAAATTATGTCTATCCTTGCCATTCGTGAAATGCCTATGAGAACCAAGTAATCTGACCTTTTTTAGAAAATGTTGTAAGCTCTTTTGGCTACATGTTTTTAATACCATTGACATTTATAATGTCTTTTAAATTATTTTCAAACACATTTCTTCTCATGTTTTATAAAAATATATATATTAAAAAAAAAAGACTTAGAACTAAAGGTTATGTAAAGATTGTTTGCCAAGATTTGATTTTCAAATAACTAACTACTAACAAGGTTATTGTAAAAAATGTGCAATTATGACCAGTAATATTAGAGCTAAGTTAGCTCATTGTCTTGTTGAGTTGAGATTGAATCAATGGTTAACAACAAAGTAGATGGTTAAATTGCAAGTTGATGCTTATGAGATGGAAGAACAAATGATGTTCTTCAAAGAAGTTCTTGATCGGGAAAGCTGACTATTGAGGAACAAAATGAACAAGTCTGTGGAACTGACTAATGAATGGCCGATTGAATAGGTTCCAATTAAAGAATTGATATTAGTGTTGAGCCAGGAGAGAGAGCTACACGGTCGAGTAGCTTGGAATGCGGAGGTATCTCCAAGAGCTCAATCGCACATATGGAAGCTGAAACTAGAGATGGCCAAAATAAATACTCCATTTGGGCTCCATTTGGGCTCAACAAATTGAAGATCGTGGGCCGTGATGCAAAAGAACCTGAAAATATCACTTTTGATTTAAAGCAATACTTTAAAGCTACAATAACCTATTCAAAAAATCTAAAAATATGGGACTCGTGGACACATGCAAAACTATGATGATGTTGAAAGGTGAATATATTCAAAATGAGGAAGTAATAGACCAAATGGGAGAACAGATAAACATCATCTTGTAGGTCTTATCCTCAAAGGAACTATGAAACGCCTTTACAATGTCTTCTATGTAAAGGCCTCCTTAAATTCTATGTGCGCCCTCACCGAGCTGCCCTTAGTGCCTTTCAATATCAGTACAAAGTGGTAATGATGTGGAAGCTGAACTAGCGACAAAGAAGAAGAGGACCATGATACTCCAAGAATGAGAGCGCTGAAATTTTTATCAACCATACAAAATAACAGTATGAAAGAAGCGTCTGTGAAGTGGCTGATGGTTGTTAGCTATTAATTAATTCTCAATCGAGTAAAAAAAACCTTGATGGACACGAGTAGATTAGAACTAAAGATAGAAAGAAACACCAAGAAAATGAAAGTTGTTAACTAAAAGGCCCTACTCAGCATAGAGTCTCCAAGAGAGTTTCTTTACAATTTGGGGTTTTGTCCGATGAGATAGTTCTAGTCATGGTTTGTATAAATGACTTCGACGTAGTATTTGAGATGAAATTCCTTGATAAAGTCATCCCAATGTTATTAGCAAAATGTTTAGTGATTATCGACTGTAATCTCAAGGTGATCTCTGCAATCATCAAACAATCAGATAACATACGATTTCTGCCTTACAACTAAAGAAAGGGTTCGTTTGAAAAAAGCCACGTTCATGACCATACAAATGGTAGAAGATGTAACAAATATAGAGCACGTCTCAAGTGAGATCGAAGATGTCTTCCACAACTACACCAATATAATGTCAGACAGCTTACCAAAGATGTTACTCCCTCGTCGTGGCATTAATCATGAAATTAAGCTCCTACTAAGGGTCAAACTCCCAACAAAAAACGCATATCATATGGCTCCATCGGAGTTAGCCGAACTTATAAAGAAAATAGACAAGTTACTGGTTGCAGGGTTCATTCTTCTCGCAAAGGCGTCATATTAGATGACTCTAGTGTTGTTCTAAAAGAATGAAAAATGGGACCTTACATTTGTGCATAGACAACATAGCCTTAAACAAGGTCTCAATATGTAACAAGTATCTCTTGCCAATAGTACTTGACCTATTTGACCAGCAACATGGAGTCAAATACTTCACAAAGTTGGATTGCGGTCAAGATATTACTAAGTGCATATTGCCAAGGGTGATGAACCCAAGACAACTTGTGTGATAAGGTAAACGGGTTTTGAGTTTTTGGTAATGCCTTTCGGCCTAACAAATGCGTCAGCTACATTCAGCTACATTCTATACCTTGATGAACCAAGTTTTTCACAAATATCTAGATCAATTTGTCGTTGTTTACCTCGACGACATAATAGTGTATAATGCCACGTTGGAAAAACACAGTATATTTACACTTAGTCTTTAAAAAGAGGTAGAATAAACTATATGTGAAAAAAGAAAAATTTGTTTTCGCATAAACTTTTGTTTCGCATATTATCAAACATGGAAAAATCAGCATAGATAGTGATAAGATAAAAGTTACCTAGGATTGAAATGTCCTCACTTCGGTGATTGAAGTGTGATCTTTCTTGGGATTAGCCAATAACTTTCGTCAGTGTGATCCTTCTTGGAATTTTCAAGGTGAACCGCCTCACTAACGAAACAATTGAAGAAAGATCACTCCTGGTCGTGGTTAGATGCATGCCAAAATATCTTTGAAGATTTGAAGACAACCATGATAAGGGACCCTATCTTCATCTTGGTCGGTGTTACAAAATCTTTTGAAGTAAAAACAGATGCATCTGATTTCACCATCGGAAGTGTCCTCATTCAGGAGGGGCAACCCATTGCCTATGAAAATCAGAAACTAAACAATGCTAAGAGGAGGTATAATGTCTTTAAGACAGAAGTGTTAGCGTTTGTCCATTGTCTCAGAGCTTGAAGACAATATTTACTGGGATCTCGCTTCGGGGTGAAAACTGACAACAATGTTATCGACCACTTCTTTGACCTATCAAAGTTGACGTCCAAGCAAGCTTAATGACAAGAATCATTAGCTGAGTTTGACTTCAACATCGAACATAAGATAGGAAAGAACAATCAGGCAACCGATGCCATAAGTTGGAAGGATGAACATGCGACTCTGTGCATGTGAGCTCACATCCATTCAAGCAAGATCAACGGTTCAATGTAGGACATAATAATGAAACATATGTATAAAGAAAAAGAAAAATCCTTCAACAAAGCGGCTGTTGAGCTAGCAAAAGCTGGAAATAGACAATTTTAGGTGGAAGGTGACTTACTTCTAACAAAAGGAAACATGTTATACGTTGAAAGGGCGGGTGACTAGAGGAAGAAACTCATACATAAATTTTACGATACTATATGGGTCCGTCACTAATAAGAATCATAGTGTTTCAAATGTTTCAACTGAATCTATTACACGATTCAAGGTCAAGAAGATTCAACAAACATTAATTTTTCATCTACAAAATTGGATATGATCGGTTCAACCATTATTTCATGTGTTACAAGCTGATTTGATTAAGAAATGATCATTTGGAGCTTCAGAAGTGAATATTTGCGCTGTTGAAGTAGTGATGAAGTTGATTGCACTTGATTGATAAGTTGTTAGAAAAATTTATTTATTTGTTTTTAATTTCATAATTATTGTAATTGGCAAAATGGTGGGTGAAATTGACTTGGTCGAGATTTAAGAGGATCGGAATTAAATTATGACCATTAATTTTATTTTGTGTGGAAACTATAAATACCCACAAATTATTATATAAAATAAGATTTGTGATTAATGAAATTGATCTCTCAAGTTGAGGCGTTATCCCTCAAAAATTCGAGATCATTTTTGCCATTTCTAAGTTTCATGTCATTTTTGTGGTAGATTTCATCCGAGTCATTCAATCAAGCCAATTTTTGTGGTAGATTTCATCCTAGTCATTCAATCAAGTATTGATCAAATTTGATTGTGGTGTGACTCAATTTAGAACAAAGTTTCAAATCTTTCTAGATATTTTATTGTAGAAGTTAATCTAAATCTATCCTTATCTATTAATAGATATAAATTTTGTATAAGGAGGTGTTAATTTTTTGATTGAAGGGTTTCTGCTCCAACAAAAGCTTTGATGGTTAGGCTAAAGATTAAGGTTGCCTTATCAGTCACCCGAGTTGACAATGAAATTATGCTCTATTAAAGAAAGGATACTTCTAGATGAATATGTGAGACGACAATATGCAATACATAACACCTTGTACCCTTGCCAGTGTTGCAAGACCTTAGAAAAGTGTGTTGTTCGATCATCACATGCCTTCTAAAGGTAGAGAACATGAAGCCATCTTGATTTTCAAAGTATGTCACCATTGTACCCACATCCAAACAATATTCAGCCGAATTACAACACAGTTGTTCTTTAAACACATTGTAAAGTTGTGGGAAGTTCCAACATGTATCATTAGTGATAGAAATGACCGATTCATTAGCACGTGCGCCATTTTGTTGAAGCTCGTCAAAAGAATTGGGTCAAATTGTTAGATGTGGCCAAATTTTGTTTCAATTGCCAAATGAGTTCATCTATGAAAAGAGCTCCTTCAAAATTGTAAACCGAAGATAACCAACCTTGCCCCCCAAATTATTGACCACTCATATGCAGGGAAGAATCCTTGAGTCCACAACTTTACGAAGGAACGAAAGCAGTTGATGAATATAGCTTGAGCTTATTTAGAAAAATAACTTCAAAACATAGGAAGGAGTAGGTAGACAGGAAGCATCACCCTCTCGAGTTTTGAGCTGGAGATCAAGTCATCATCAAACTCGGGTTAGAATAGATCCAATTTTGTAGCCAAAACGATCAAAGACTTGTTAGGAAGTATGAAAGACTTGTGGAAGTCCTCCAAAAGGTCAAGTCTACCTCTTATAGGGTGGCATTATCTACATGGATGAAAATTCACCTAGTAATCCATGCGAGTAACTCAAAATGCTAGCATCTCAATCCGGTGATGATAGTCACAATTCCATCGTCATATTCAGAATTGACCTGAAATAGAAGACACCATAGTGGTCGAAGAGATCCTAGTTGGCAGAGTCAAGAAGGTGGGAAGACCTGCACA